TGGCGCGCAGTGCGGGGCCATGCCGGCGGGGCCGCCGCTGCTGCGGGGCGCCCTCCTCCTCCTCCTCCTCCTCTTCCTCGGCGCCCCGGCCCGGGGAGCCGTCTACACCAACCATTTCTTGGTGGAGCTGCGCGGCGGGGGCCAGGCGGAGGCCGAGCGGGTGGCGGCGGAGCACGGCTTCGGTAGGGTGCGGAAGGTAAGCCCCCGCGCAGGCTCGCGGCGATGGGGAGGTGCGCGGAGGCGATTGGTGGCAGTGCCGTGCCGTGCCCTGCCCTTCACGTTGGGCTGAGGGCATGCGGCGTCCGCCCGTGAGCATCCCGGCGGCGCGGGGGTGGCCCCCGGTAGGGTCCTGCCCGCGACTTACGTGGGGAGAAGGGACGGAGCGGGTCGCGTCCTGGCTGTCCCCGCGTTAATAACTCCCCTTTCCGAGGGGATTTTTAGGAGTAGCGGTGCCAAGAGCCGTTGCGAGTGCACTTCGGTAGTGGCCCAAAAGGGTGATTTTCTTGGACTGGAAAGCAGAGGAGTTTCCCACATGGCAGCTCGGTGCCTTTTGACTTGCTGTGTAAACATCCTCCAATTGAGCTCCCATCCTGCGAGCGCAGGAGCGGCTGGGGCCGCCCAGGGCTTCCTGTGCACGGCTGTAATTGAAACTGCTCGGAGCACTTAAAAAAAATAAAGCCGCATCTCTATGCAGAAGCTTGCACGCAATTTGAATGGAAGATTTCGTAGGGGTTTTGACACTCAAGTTTGTGAGGCTGGTGGCTTCTTAATATCCCTGTTATTCTCATTGAGAAACAGGATGCCTCCAGGCTGAAGAAGCTGCTTAATATTAAGCATGATAAGCAATCTGTGCTTGTCACTAATGAACGTAAGTTGGGAAACTTCCAAGTGCCATTGGAGGTTGTTTTCTATCCCGAGGTCCCAGGAAATCCGAGGTAGCCACAGTGGCAGGGAGTCTCTTCCTGGCTCCTGGGGAGCCTAGCTCCACTAGAAGTCTCTCCTGTTCAAATAATAATTAGACCACTAACTATTTCAGGGTACAGTCAGATCTAGGGTGAAGACAGGGAGAGGCTAGTAGTGTCCTGGTCAATACAATTCCTGACAGACAATGCCCAGGCAGCACTTGGCTTGGAGGAGTGTGGAGGGAAAAGCAAGCTGTGAGCATTGCTGCTGCTGCTTGTTTGGTTTTATTTTTTTCTTTCCCTGGTAGTTATGCAATGAGAGCCTGATTCTACTTCTAAGGAAATGAATGAGAATGGTACCCTGGCCTTGGATGGGTGAAGTGGCTTAAGACTTTGATTTAAAAAAAAAAAACCAAAAACATATGAAGTGAGACTCCCTCCCTCGGGCTGCCTTGTCTCAACTCCAGTGGGAACTCATTAGAGAAACGAGGTCAAGATCATTGTTGCTTTGACCACAGCCAACTCCTGCTGCTGCTAAGATGCTTTTGTTTTGGGCTCACAGCCTTGTCTTGATAGTGACAGAGCTGGGCTGCTGATGCCCTTGGGAAAGGATACATTATGGGGATTAGGTATTATTACATGAAATTTAGATGTGGCTCTTTGGTCAACAGTTTTTCCTTTTTATTCCTTTACTGTTTGTACTCCCTCCCTAGTATCCTGGGGATATCTGACAGATAAGCCGTTATGAGGAGGGCAGGGTACTTTTCTGCATAGCTGAATTTCTTATTACTTTTGTTAGATGCTTTCATATGATCCTGTGACCCACGTGAGGGAGAGAGTGGATTTTGTAGGATGAAGAAATGCGGCTTCAGGGCTGTTAGAATCCTCTCCCCTCCACCATGCCTTTCCCCAGGGTGCTTTGGGCACATTAGGAGACATACAGATTCTTCATGGAACTAAGTCTTGTAGCTCGTCTCAGCAGAGAGCTGGAGGAAAGTCCCCCAGGTGTGCGAGGGGAAACTACCTGCTTTCCAGCACATGCCACAGGGGGGGCTGTTCCCGTGGAGTCTCTAGGAATGAAGCCTAGCAGAGCTGTGGCGTGATGTGCGTGTGCTTGCAGGGGCTGGGGGGGCAGATGGTGGCGGTGGCTCCTGTACTGAGCACATTCTGTCCCAAGAGGTTTCTGGGTTACATCATCCCAGTCCCTGAAAAGCTAGAAAGCCTCCCACCCCTCCTCCACAAATGCACGAGGAAATAGCGCTCTACTATCTGCAAGACAGTAATTTTAGGGAATAGAGAAGTTTGTAGGGTTTGGTATTTAGCTGTCTATGTCGGAGGATAATCCATGAGAGGCTGATAGCAATCTCCGTTCTGCAGGGGAAATCTGTAACGGGGCTTGCGTGGCAATAGTCAGCTGTTAATAAAACTTGTGCCATCTACTCCAGTGTCTCTTCAGTATTGCTGAACTGAAGAGTCTCCTAATCTGTTTTGCTATCATCAGGCTTGTCTAGCATCTCTGCTTACAGTCTGCAGACTCAGCTTTCATGGCAATAACAACAGTGCAGAAAGTTGAACATGGCTCTGTGTGTGTATAGAAACAGAGCTGTTAGTGGTAAACTCTTGGGGGAAAGTACGATGTGTAGATAAGCTGTCTAATGAAACATTCAAAAAATACCAAAAAAACCCCCAAATTATACCACAAGGAGAAGTGATCTTTGCATAATTCAACCACACATACTGTTTGGATAATATAATGAGTTATTTACTTAAACCAAATCCAGTTACCTTTACCCATATTGGAGAAGAGCTGTTGTCTGGAAATAGTCACCTTTATTTCAACACAGGGACTTTTCCTAGTAGGACCACAAGGGTGTTCAGCTTTTTTCTGTGTGTGGATTTAAGACATATATGAGCATGATTTCTTTTATGTGTGCTATGTATCACGGATCTATCTTAACATGACTTTATGAGAGCTGATTTTTAAATTACATATTTTTAGTGCATGTTTTTTCGTAATAACAAACAATCTCTGAGCAAGTGCATATTATATTTACTGAACAGCAGATTTCTGAAGAAATACAAGAGAAAGTACTGCCTTGAGGATTAATGTTATGAACTGTGCAATGCACTTACTAATTGATTTCTTTGGCCATGCTTCCTACCATCATTCTGAAACCACTGCAAGACTTCAGGTGGGCTAAAATGTGTACTTTAAATTCAGTGCTTGATGATTTGATTAAGAAAGGCTTGATAGTTATGTAAACAGGTGCCTGTGTTTAGATCTAGGATCCTAACATGTTACAGAGTCTCAAAAACACTGGTCAATTTTTCTTTAACTTTCCCTGAATTAATCCCAAATACAGACCTCTTTGTAACTCCGATTGTGCTCTTTGACTTTTTTTTTTAACATTTGCAATTTTTCAATCCATTTGTACCTGCTAAAATTGATTCTATGTACTCCTGGTAAAAGAGAAACTGTGATAAAGCATATTCTTTTCTTAAAATGGTTAGCCTTACCACCTTCAAGCATTCAGGAGTCATGAGGATGCCCCCCTAATAGCTACATGTTAAATTGTGAGAACTGCAACAGGAACAGCTTTTCCCCCCCTGCCCCTTTATTTTATTTGCCTCCTGGCATGGTTGCCACCAGAATACGTATCTTAATGCAGGCTGAAAAAAGCTGCTTTCTAACCTTGCCTTGCAATTCTTAATTTATTTCGAACAAGGGGAGTTGGAAGAAGCATTTGGAAAGGTCTCCTAATTGGAGATCAGAGTTTAGACATCTCTTTCCATTTCATCAGCAACAATGAGACCGAGACAATCTACAAAATGCCATAGCTAAATATCCCACTTGTGGTAGCACTGAAGTGAAGGGTTTTAAACAGTTAGCATTCAGTGGCCTCAGCTTTTAAAATAAGAACCAAACATAGGTTTCAAAACATGGACAATTTTGTGTTCCACAAAGCTGGTCTGTTTTTTCCTTGATGTATCACCTGATCACCTCTCCCTCTAAATCTTGCAAAACCCAAGGTACCTCTTACAGCTGTGACTTTTCTGCTTCCCGTTTTTGCTTAGGAGGCTGCTGGTTGAGGACCAAGCTTTCTAGACCTGGCCAGGAATTTCTGGATGAAACGTTGGGAGCTTGGTTTTTTGGGTTTTTTTACATTGCATAAATATGGACTTATCAAAAGCAAAACTTAACATATAAAGAAGCCAGACTGCAGCAGCCCAGTTCTGCATCTAAGAGGCTGGGAGCCTGTGAGCTGGGACTTGATGTGGTGTCAAAGGCAGACCAGGAGGCAGAATAATGGGTTTGCAGCTTTGGGAGCTCTTTGCTGGGATCTTCTTTAGGGATCCTGAAAATTTCATCTTGGGGTCTATATGCTAAAGCCCTGAAAATCCCTTCCTGTGTAGATCAGCCCCTAAATCTGGAGAAGAGGTGTTTGCCTAGCTGGGTATTTAAGGTGTCAGGATATGCTTCTGCGTGGCCAGAATGCACTGTGGTAGACAGATGGGATTCTGTGCACGTAAAAAATGCTGGTTGTGGATGTGGGCCTGCATGTGTGTTCATAGATATGTGTTTATATACATACATATCTTTCTTGTTTCTTTTCCCCTCATACTTATGTAGGTAGCAAAGACAAAGGAAGAAAGGTGAATTCTTAGCCAGGCTCCTCGCAGAGCCTGTGTGCGCATATATATTAACCAGCCAATTTGTGCACATACGTGGTGGTCCATGCTTTGCAGATAAACAAGCCTGTGTTACCTGCACATGTGCTGCTAACCCAAGTGCTCATGGAAGTGTTAGTTCTGGCTAGCTGAAGGCAGCATGGAGGGTGCAGACGTGCTTCAGTGTGGAAACAGATGCTGAAGCAGTGGAGCACCCCATGCAAAGCAGAAGAAGAGAGCCAGGGTCTCCCTGCATGGACCCACTGGAGTTCAAGGACTTGAGATCAAGCCTCAGGCTGCAGTGTTTCCATGCACTAATACATGTTTAATAATTAATTAGCTTTATGTTTTGTGCTGGCCTAGAGGAAAGGATGTTTGTTTGCAAAAGTAATCCTTTATTATGGAAATAGAAAAACCTCTTAGAAACGGAAGGTACAATGTAAGTTTTTTGAGGAAACCAAGAGCTTTAATTTTCTAGATTTCACTCTTGCAATTTTGTATTACTAAGATAAGAAAAAGTAAATTCCATGCAAATGCTAATTGTGCAACTACTGAGATTTCAATAGGTCATCTCACCACAACAAGCAAATGCTTCAGTTTCCAAGAGATAGTCTGAGCTGATGTG